GGGACTGTGTTTAGCATAAGCCAATTTGTAACGAAATCACTGTTGAATAAATACGCAATCACTAACCACTTACTCTGATCAGACTCCGTCGCAAATTACCTTACATTGGGCCACGGTGCATGGACGAGGAAAGCAAGATGTATTTACAAAGAACCGAGTCAAGGAAATTAATTCGTTCAAACAAGAATACAAATATATTCCTAGTACGCAAAACCCTGCGGACTTACTGCGGGGTATATCTCCTAAACAATTAATGTGACGTATCACAACTATGGTGGCACGGACCAAAATGAACAACCAACGACGATACTTGGCCAAAATGCGAACTATTTGATATGGAAACTTCGGAGCTCACTGTAAACCATGTGCGAACGCAAGTGACATCTCTACCTCTCGAACCAATGTACAGATCACATGATCGAATCATCAACTCAAATAGAAGAAACGAACGCTAGTTCTCACCCGAATGAGACTCCAGAATCTCCATCTAACATCACTAGCATTATCGATATAAACTTGCATTGTTACCGCCAACACCTACTACGTGTTACTTCCCTTGTACGGAGATTCGTCAAAAACGTTAAACACTTCAGAACCGCAACAAACCACCACCATGTCTGAATAAAATTTATGCAATTTCCATATATAATTAATGTGCTTGATGTAAAAGAGGCCATTAATCAATCCATGTTGATGTAATAACCATTTTTTAACAAGTCATTGTCAATGACACGTCCCCGTTCCGTTCACATTTGAGTGACATATGCATTCAAAGCAGATCATGACCGAAATCTCAGACCACTGAAAGTGGTCTAATCCGAAATGCACCTGCATATGTACAACACATTGTACTAAATCTGAACAAAATCTATCCATGCATGACTGAGATCCGGTTTCGGAATTGTGAAAATACATTATTTTGATGCAATTTCGGCCTTAAAATGGCCATCATTCAGCTATTGTTAAGCGGATCATGAAACAAATGCACATATCTATTTGTGACATGATGTACCATGTGTGTGTGAAGTTTGAACTTGATCAATCAAGACATGTCTCGGATATGGATCCAGAACTGAATTCTTTAAAACAAAATGGCCGCCAGTCGGCCATTTCAAACCCGATCCCCCCAAAAAAAATAACGTGCATCAAGGTCCTATTATGTTTAATGTACCAAATTTGAACAAAATCCGTCCATGCATAACTGAGATCCGGGTCCAGAATGGTGAAAATGTGCAATTTCAATGGATTTTCAGCCTTAAAGCGGCCGCCATTTGGCTATCGTTAATGAGATCATGAAACAAATGCACATACATATTTGTGACATGATGTACCTTGTGTGTGTGAAGTTTGAACTCGATCAATCCAGGCATGTCTCAGATACGGATCAAGAACTGAATTTTTTAAAACAAAATGGCCGCCAGTCAGCTATTTCAAACTTGATCCGAAAAAAAATGACGTGCATCAAGGTCCTATTATGTTTAATGTACGTACCAAATTTGAACAAAATCCGTCCATGCATAACTGAGATTCGGGTCCGGAATGGTGAAAATGTGCGA